CCGTTGATGGATCCAGCCGGGAGATTCTGCCTTGGGAGTGCCTGTTCCGGTTCCTTTCGTCTGATCACCTACCCCCATCGCCTACCCCCTCCTGCTTCGCCTTGCCGAAGACGCCATCGCCAACCTTCAGCCGCTGCGTTCCTCCCTGTCCTCCCGGAACCGGAGGGGAGTTTGGACTGGGAGACGCTCTGGATCGCTCCAGCTATGAGGGCACGAGAGTGGCGATCTGCTCCCCCGGAGTCGGTCTACGGTGTGGGAAAGACGCCAGAATCCACCACAGCCCTGCGCTTCAGCACAGAGCTGCTGTGCTCGGCGCGCCAGTTTGGACACGCCCCCGGTCAGACCAGCAGTTCCATCCTCTCCAGGCGGAGGAGCAGTGCCCGCAGCCCAGGTGACCGAGCTTGTCAGTCTCCCAGCGGAGCTTGACCGGTTCCGCCAGCTCGTCTACTCCCAGGAATCCCGCCTGGACGCTCTGTCATCCTCGTCACACCCAGCGGAGCTCGCCGGTCTCTGGGCTGAGCTGGCCCAGCTCCATCGGGCCCTCAGCCTCCGGGAGCTTTAGCTGGACAGGATGTCCTCCCTGCTTTCTTTGTTTCCGGCACCACCAGTTCTCTCCCAGCCAGTTCCAGTGGTGGTCCCGGAGGTCGCACCCCAACCGGCCCAGAAGCAGACGGCACCTGCCCAGAAGCTGACGGATCGGGCCCAGAGGCTGACGGATCGGGCCCAGAAGCTAACGGATCGGGCCCTGAAGCTGACGGAACCGGCCCAGAAGCAGACGGCACCTGCCCAGAAGCAGAGAGGACCGGCCCGGAAGCAGACGGTACCGGATCGGTCCAAAAGTCGGCTGTCCAAAAGTCGGCGGTCCAGAAGTCGAAGGACCAGAAGCCGACTCCCCTGGACCAGAAGCCGACACCCCCGGACCAGAAGCAGACGATTCCGGTTCCGGTCCCCAGGTCGGCAGTCCAGAGGTCGACGGTCCAGAAGCCGACTCCCCCAGACCAGAAGCGGACGCCCCCGGAGCAGAAGCAGACGGTTCCGGTCCCAGTCCAGAGGCCGGCGGTCCAGAGGTCGATGATCCAGAAATCGAAGGACCAGAAGTCGACGCCCCCAGATCAGAAGCCGATGCCCCCGGACCAGAGGCCGACTCCCCAGGGCCAGAAGCAGATGCCCCCGGACCAGATGCAGACAGTTCCGGTTCCGGTCCAGAGGCCGGCGGTCCAGAGGTCGATTGTCCAGAAATCGAAGGACCAGAAGTCGACGCCCCCGGATCAGAAGCCGACGCCCCTGGACCAGAAGTCGATGGTGGTCAACGCCCGGTCCTGCCCTGTGGTCGACACCCCTTCCGGTTCTGAAGTTGACGCCCCTTCCTGCTCTGAAGTCGACGTCCCTTCCTGTTCTGAAGTCGTCTCCTCTGAAGTCGACGTGTCTGAAGTCGTCTCCTCTGAAGTCGACGTGTCTGAAGTCGTCTCCTCTGAAGTCGACGTGTCTGAAGTCGTCTCCTCTGAAGTCGACGTGTCTGAAGTCGAAGTGTCTGAAGTCGTCTCCTCTGAAGTCGTCTCCTCTGAAGTCATCTCGTCTGAAGTCGCCTCTGAAGTCGTCTCGTCTGAAGTTGCCTTATCTACTCCAGAGGTCGACGCTCCCTCTGGTCCGACGTCTCCACCATCTCTGGTTCCAATGGTGTTTCTGAAGGTCGCTCCGGTCCAGCCCGTCCAAGGTACTATGTCCCTGGCCCAGCCTGCAGAGACTGTGTCCCCGGCCCAGCCTGCAGGGACTGTGTCCCCGGCCCAGCCTGCAGAGCTCCTCTGCCGCAGGCGCCGTCCTCCAAGGGCCCATCGCCTCCTCATCTGCCGCAGGCACAGGCCCCCGGACTCTGCTGGTCCTTGCCGCCTCTCCATCGGTCCCTCGGTTCCTCTGGGCCCTCCCTCCGGATCCCCCTCCTCCTTGTTCCTGTGGGCATCTGGGATCCACCCTTTGAGGGGGGGGGACTGTCACACCCTGTCCTGTCTTCCCTGATGTTTTAGTCTGTGTCTCCATTAATTGCTCCCACCTGCCTCTTGTTTCCCAATCACCCTAGCTCCCACTCCTCGTGTATTTAAACCCCTTCTGTTCTGTGTTTCATGTCGGATCATTGTTTCATTGTCCAGTGTGCGTCCTAATAAACCTGTGTGTAAAGAATCCTACCTGTCTGCCTGCTTCCTCCCCGGCCTGGATCCTCATCTCTTCTCCGCTTCACCCAGCCGGCGCGCATGACAAGAAACATTCATAGATTAATGTGGTTTAGCCCCGCCCCCGCCTCCTTTAGGTGCCTTGATGAGAGAGAGATGAGTAATCCTTCAGGATTCCCACCTTCACCCATCTCCCGATTAGGAGTCACCCTGGAACCACTGTTTTATAAACAGCTGAATTTTCGGAGTATGAAGGAAGCTGTTGTTGCAGCGCAGCATAATGCAGAGCTGCGTTCATATTACAGCAACAATAATCTGACATTTTAAATCAATTAATCTGGTATTTGTTATAACAGCAGCTGAGCCTGGATGTCTTAGCCAACTAATCTTACCTCCATTACGTGTCATGAGCTGGGGTGAGTACTCCTGTTCTCTTAACCATCTGTGAGTCTCCTGCCAGGAGAGGGAGTGGCCCAGCTGCTCCTGATCAGCAATCAGCGGGGTGCTTTCCTATTTATGGTGGACACAATTCGACGCCGGAAGATTGCCTCAGTTTTGGTAGTAACCAGCCACTCGTGTTACCTCTAGTGTTCGTTACCTCTAGTGTTCCTAGGATTAATGTTATTTCATAGTGTTTTTTGCTCTTATACTGGATTTACCCTTCTTCAGGATTCCTGTCGGCCTCATTGGATACTGACCTCAACTCCAGGATTCGGATATTCTGCACACGGACCATATCACCACCCTCCATAACCTACCTCTCATCTCACCCAGTGCCCCATCCACCAGGACGCCCTGCTTCTCTCCACCTCTGCTTCCCCTCCTGCGCTTCCCCCGGCTCTCTACCTCTCCCTCCTCCAGCCAACATATACATGCCCCACAGTAAGTCTGCTGAACACCTCTGCCTGCCTACAATGGATTTTGAAACCAGAACCTAAGCTCACCTGTGTTCTCCCTCCTCCAGACGCTGAGCTGTTGTTGCAGTTCCAACCACAGACTTATCTGTGCACCTTAAGTTCCTCCTTATAAATAAATCATTTTTTCCATCCGTTTTTGGTCAGCGTTGTATTCTATATGTCTTGGGTTAAGTACCTCCCTCCAAACATGACATTATGGTGGCTTCCATTCTCAGATGCGTACTGACGCTCGTTGTGAGTGACTGCTAACTCCTGACCCTGTAGACTCAGCTCATGATCCCTGGACAAGAGCCTGAAACCAGGTTCTCATGGTGCACGTTTGATCTGGTCCTCTCTGATGACCGTGGGCTAAAACCTGGAGCTCAGTGCAGATAAATCATGCGTAAAACATGTGAGTTAAGGACTCTGTTGGCAGGAGCAGATGAACCAGAGCTCAGGTGGGATGCTCCTGCAGAGGTGGTACAGACTGTCGTGTTCTCACCTGTTCCTTTTGTGATGCTACAACAGAAAGATACTCAAGAACATTTAGATTCAACAAGTAACAAAACGAAACAATCGCAAACTCAAAACTCTGTCTCTTCTTTCTGTTTCTGGCTACCATAGAAAGCTTGTAATATTCATGTCTGCATGTCTGTTGCATGCTGGACATGAAAATGTTCTGGAAACAAGAAGCAGACGAGGAAATGGTCGGGTCAGATCTTTTCTCCATCACAGGAATGTCCAATAAAGGGCTGACTACAGATCCTTGTAGAACACCCATACATTTCACATCTCCTAATTTAATTCTCCACGACTGGTTCTCCCTGGCTTGGTTCCTCTGAGCAGGTGTGGAACCTCACCAGAACCATACCGAGCCCCGCTGGAGAAGGGTTATCGGTCCATTTACAGTGTAAACGTGTTCTGACCTCTATCTGACACAACAACCACGCCGCTGTCTGAGCCAAACGCCCTCCTCTCTCAGGTTACAGTTGCATTCTGGGATACAGGTGGACACAAACATCAGGGTTCGGGTTTCCTGACATTTGTGCAGGTGATCAGATGGATCGGCTCTTACTCTGAACACACAACCTTCTGGTCACCCCGCCCCCAGACAGTCTGACCAATCAGTAGACAGACCTTCTCGCCTGGTTTCTGTTTCATACAGGTAAAGAAAATATGCAGCGATTCAGACGAGAGGAACCAAGATGGAGGAGTGGAAACATCCTGTTTGGAGAGGAATAGCGTAATGGTTAGACTGGTGAAGGGTTGAGGTTATACCAGCTCACTGTGTGCAGAGGTCATAACTACGGACATAAACATGACCTTTTCAGCAGAAAAGCAGAGGCAGCAAAAAGAGAAACAGAAACACCACAGAGAGCTGACCAAGCAGAGCTCACACCATCAGTGGAGTCACTGAGGCCAGGAAGTCCAGGATGTGAGACACTGGGAGGCATTCTATGAAATATTCAAAAGCCTGCTGAAAAACTCAGAGAATCAGCAGAAAAAGAGAGAAGGAAACAGAATGAGTCTAAACTGGTAAAATCATCTAATCTAAACCTAAGTTATTCTAGCAGAAGCATGAAGGTCAACGGGGAGAAGATGCTTAACCATCCTGGATGACTGTCCTCCTAAGCAGCAACATTCCCTCATCAGGAGGTTCTCCTCCAGCTCCTACAGTCATCACTGCCTAGACCTCAGGCTCTATGGAGACTTGGAGATCCACTTGTGTCCATCACCCTGTGTCCATCACCTGCACCTTAAACCTTCTCTCTGACCTGCAGACCTGAGGTGATCTCTAGCAAATTCACCTGTTTTCACCTTTTCTTTGTGTGAAACCGAACAAAAAGACTCCAAGGCTGGTAACACATTGTCCTTTGGTTTCTTTAACACAAGCGTTGGGCGCCTGCTGGGTCTGGCACGTGGGCGGATTCCTGATTCTTTCTAAGTTTAGGAACAAATCTCCTGACTGGAAACGAGAGACTTAACTGTGAGCAACATTTCACCGGTTCCATCCTGGAATGAGAGAGGGGTATTTTCTGGGATATATCACGAGCGATTCCAAATCAGCTTTGAGCCCATAGCGTGCGTCATTGCGCAGCGGCGCATCAGCCCACAGTGGTTAACGGGAGTCCGCTGACGGAGCACACGCAGTTGTGTGTGCGGGCATACGTTAGCGCGGATCAGCAGGTGCTGTCTCTAACAGACGCTGGATGGAAGTGGGAGCTTCAGCAGCGATCTGAGGGACATCCATTACATCACGGACTCATTTCCAGCATGCGCTGACTGACGCACGCGCGTTACATGCTCGAGGCGACCGATCGGAACAGGTAAAGTTCTCACTGATTTCCTCTAAAATGATGTTGACACGTCTGTAGGTTTGATGCGCCTGACAAGCTGATCACGCGGGATTGTTCCCTGTTCGCACGCTTTGCTCCGCACGCGCTTTAATGACGCACCGATGAGAGGCGAACTTTGAGGTGCAGAAGGATGAGAAAACTCCGAGAGCCTGGCTCCTGTTAATTACACCATCTGAACAACTCCATCATATATACACGTGTGTGTGTGTGTGTGCGCGCACGCGCTCCTCTGTGTGTTTTTTCCAATTTAGCTGATTTCATTGAACTCCCAACCGACTCATCCTTGTTACAGTCAATTATTATAAAATAAAACACACACGCGCGCGCGCGCACACACACACACGCGCACACACGCACACACACACACGCACACACACACACACACACACCGTCTCAGAGTGAGATAAATGTCAGTTACAACTTAAAAGCTTCATATTGTCTAACTAAGACCTGAGCAGCTCAGGGGCGGATTTAGCAATTTGGGGGCCCAAGGCGAACACAGACATGGGGCCCCTTACACTAAATTTTCGACAATCTTACCTTTAAGTGGATTTGCGAAACTCCCCCCTCTTCTGACATGAGTTATTTTCCCTTTTTATTAGTCCTCCTCTTTTTTTCCTGTATTTCCCTCCCTTTGAGTGCTTTCAATGTTTGCTCTGCTTTCTTTTTTCTGTCAGCGCTCCTGTGCTTTAGCCTTAGTTTTTTTTTTCTATTTTCCATTTTGGTCTGTTTTCCGCCCTTTAAACATTTTCCATTGTCTTTCCTTTCTGCTTGCTTTTGATGTTTACATCGAAAAACAACGTCACTTTCAGAAGTGAAGATAAAAGCTTTTATGAAGCATGATGCTTCTTTCTCTTATTGGAGCCACTAGGATAACTTCATGTCATGCTTCATGTTTTGACTATCACTTTGAGTTTGTTACGAACGCTCCCGCCTCTCTTCTTATTCTTATTTGTGGTCTTATGGCACTTGGCAAACAACAATTTGGTGCATTACCGCCACCAACTGGATTGGAGTGGAATGACTACCAATCACTTCCTGTTTGTGCATCGCAGTCTTAATAACCGTCTTATGACCATAATTATAACAGGGCCGCCTGGTATTTTTTTTTTAATCTTTTGGCTGTAAAATTGTAATAAAAAGTGCAAAGTGTGTGTAACTCTTCTCCTTTTTTCAGAACAACCTCAGCTTTCAGTGTGTGGTTTGTATTTCCAAACCACTATAACATTTCACGAAAAGAAACGTGAAGCCGCTTCTCCTCCATCTTCACTGGCTGCCAGTCAACTTTAGGGTTCATTTCTTAATCCTGGTTCTGGTCTATAGGGCCTTACATGGACAAGCACCATCTTACATTGGTGATCTTCTTAGTCCCTACACCCCCAGCAGGTCCCTGAGGTCCAGTGATCAAAGCCTACTGGTTGTGCAGCACCAGGCTAAAGACCAAAGGTGACAGATCATCTGCTGCTGTGGCCCCCAGACTCTGGAACTCTCTCCCCTGAGCCTGAGATCAGTGGACTCAGTGGTCTCCTTTAAAAAGCAGCTGAAGACTCACTTGTTCAAGCTGGCTTTTGTATGACCTTCTTCACCACTCTCTCTTTATTCTGCTCTCCCCACCTATTCTACCTTCCTCACTGATTTCCCTCTTTCCTATTCACTCTTTCTCTTTCTTAAAATTTTTTCTTTTAAATCCCAATTGCCTATTTTTGCTCATTTTAAATATATTTTAAACATTTTCTAAATGCTTTTTTATATTTATATTTTTGTTTTTGTGAAGCGCCTCGTGATTTTTATCTTGACAGGCGCTATAGAAATGATATTTTCTTCTTCTTCTATTTAGAATGTATTTCTATTAAAGCCTTTAAAAAATCAGCTTAAAAGTGAAAAAAGCAAAAAACGGATTTGAATTTTTTACAGTTATTACTGAACAGGAACTTCAAAATTACTGGGCAAACAATTTAAACTTTGAACTGAAATGCATCTATTCTTAAAAAAGTTTGAACCTTGGTGTCTTGTAGCAGTTTTTAAGACTTTATTTTTGTAAACTTTCAGACATTTTTATTTGATGTGGTAGACCTTGAAGCAGCTTCTCTCCAGCTGCAGGCAGAGTCCTGCACACCTTACACCTCCATGGGGGGCTTCTCTGGCACACCGTGCACTGCTATACCAATACATTTGTTTTAGCAAAAATAATTATTTATTGTAAAAAGATAAATAATGCTGGAATGATGCTGAATCTTACAAATTAGCAAATAGTTGAGGGTTGTTCAAATAAAAAAATTAAAAATAAAGACTGAACAAACGTTCATATCCTGGTTCACTGGAGATCTGTCCTTCTTCATGGTCACTGTCTTCAGATATAAGCCTTCTGGGACACCTAATGGATCGTGTTGATTTTCTTTGAGGTATTTCCATAATTTCTTGCCGGTTTTTATGCTAATTAGCTTCCCCGTTCCGTTAGCTTTCACCGCGGCGCTGCGCTCCGTTTCAATCAGGCAGTAAAGCAGGATTTCCCCTCGTAGCGATATTTTCCCTAACTCTGATTGCTTCATGCTATAGATCGTTGGAAAGCTGCTTTTATTTACTTTTAGGAACCGTTAGAATTTCCTGGATCTGATCAGCCATTCAAAAGTTATAAAGCGGAGCATTTTGGATGACAAACTCAGCACGTCTCTGAATCTTTGTTGTGATTCGGTGCGCTCAAGACAGGGAATCCCAGTAGCTACTGTAATGTATTGTATATGCACGGAAAGCCCCATTTTTAATCTTTTTAACACTTTTGGAATTTTAAAGATATCTTGAACGGTTCAGGAATTATGGTAATGAGAAGTGTGCATGTCCAATCCCGTCTGCGGCCACAGGTTGGTAATAAGAATATTGTGGCATTAACAGAGGGGTGCTGGCTGTCAGGGCTAGGGGGGCCCCCAACACAAGGGGGCCCCAGGCGGCCGCCTACCTATGCCTAATGGTAAAACTGCCTCTGCCTGAGCTCAGGAGGAGTGTCATGGCTCGAGGTAAGTGTCTAACCCAAGACATGCAGAATCAGCACACGTAGTCCAAAGCAGTAAAGTAAAATGTCTTTATTATAAAAACGGGAACTGAAACCGCACAGGGAAGTCCTGTGGGATGAGCAATACGGCTCGAGTCTCTGAGGTGCTCAGGTTAATCAGTAGAGGAGGGGAAGCCGGGGAGGACGCTGGGCAGAGGATGAGAGATCCAGGAGGGGTGAGGTAGCAGAGGGAAAGCCAAACAGGAACGGCGGAGGAGGATGGGACGTGATGAGTATGTTCCAGAAAACGAAGACAGCGAGGGTGAGTAGATGATGAGATGATCCTGAGCGAGACAAAAACAGGCGTAAGGGATAATCCAATTCCAAATCCAAAATACGATCCAAGGTCATAAATCCACTAGTCGAAGGCGAGTCAAAACACGAATTAACAAGATCAAAGTTCAGAGTCGAGTGGCTGGTGCTACCTAAACTGGTGCAATCATCCGGCAAAGTGATGTGTCTCCATCCTCCTTTTGAACCCGCGTCCCTGATTGGGAAATCTCCTGCAGCTGCCGCTCCCCCTGCTCCTCACCTGTGGAGAATTAGCTCAGAGTCTGGTGAGAGGAGAAGGTGTGACTCACCTCTGCCCAGGAACATGACAGTGCCCCCCCCTCAACGGACGCCCCCCGGCGTCCTAGCACCGGATCTGGAGGCCTCGAAGTCCGAGATGAGAGAGGGGTCCTCGATGTTGGACCGGGGAATCCAGGAGCGTTCCTCCGGGCCGTACCCCTCCCAGTCCACCAAATATTGAAGACCCCGACCACGGGGGCGAGAGTCGAGGATGCGCCGCACCTTGTATACCAGCCCCCCTTTGTAGAGCCGAGCAGGAGGAGGCGGAGCCGGAACCGGGCACAGAGGGCTGGAAACGACGGGTTTGATCAGGGAGACATGGAACACAGGATGGATCCGAAGAGACGACGGGAGTTCCAACCGCACGGTCGTCGGACTAGGGACCGCCGCGACCTTGAAGGGACCAAGGAACCTAGGAGAGAACTTCCTGGTGGTCGCCTTCAGCGGGACATCCTTGGACGACAACCAGACCATTTGACCGGGAGAGTAGGTGGGAGCAGGACGACGGTGTCGGTCAGCCAGTCGCTGATTCCTTTCCGCGGTCCGCTGAAGAGCCGACCTCGTGGTGATCCAAGTGCGGCGGGCCCGACAAAGGAACTGAGGAGTGGTGATGGTGGCATCTGTATGAAGGGGGAACAGAGAGGGCTGATATCCGAGGGAGGACTCGAAGGGAGACTGACCTGTGGCAGAGGAGACATGGCTATTATGGGCATATTCGACCCAAGCCAAATGCTCACTCCAGGTGGATGGGTTGGTGGCGCAGACGCAGCGAAGCATGGCACCAAACTCTTGGTTCATCCGCTCGCATTGTCCGTTGGTCTGCGGATGAAACCCCGAGGTCAGAGCCACCTGGGCTCCCAAGGCGGTGGCAAACTCCCTCCAGACACGAGACACGAACTGGGGGCCTCGGTCAGAGAGGATCTCTGTTGGGATCCCATGCAGACGAAAGACATGTTTAATTAAAAGCTGGGCCGTGACGGCAGATGTAGGGAGAGCCTTTAACGGCACCAGATGACAGGCTTTGGAGAAACTGTCCCAACAGTTAAAATGACACTAAAACCATGCGAAGGTGACAACCCACAAACAAAGTCCAAGGCAATATGGGACCAAGGACGGGACGGCACTGGTAGGGAACAGAGTAGGCCTGCTGGAGACTGATTGGCACCTTTTTGTTGGGCACAGACGTGGCAGGCCGACACATACTCCTTCACGTCTCTGTAGAGGGAGGGCCACCAGAAAGATCGCCTGATCAGAGCCACAGTACGTCCTACTCCAGGGTGGATTGAGAACCTCCCGGTGTGAGCCCAGTGAATAACCTTTCCTCGTAGTGCCTGGGGAACAAACAGTCTGTTGG